GGCTTTCATCCATGAAAGATGTCAACCATGGCTGTGTTGAAGTGTAGCCTGGTACATACCAATGACCGCTCAACCATCTCTTTTCTTTCTCGTCTTTATTTATTTATTTTTGTACTCCAACTCTCATTGGCATCTAAAATCACTAATCTCTGCCCATTACCGTTTTTGCTAATTTACAGTGATAACTGTGGCTCTGTTTTCATTAGGAGATGAAAGCCGGGAAATTAAAAAACAAATTACAGGGATGAGAAGATTACTGAATGACAGCACTGGAAGAATCTATCAACGAGTTGGCAAAGAAGGAGAAAAACTGAAGGAGGAGCCCCAAGATTTAGACTTAGCCTGGGCCCAGCGCCTGAATCCCTCTGCCGAGTCACAGGCGAGCCTTCATCCTTCACAGAGCGGTGCATGGAATGAATTATCACCCCAAGCTAGCCATTTTTCAGGGCAATACGGAACTCGATCCAAAACGTTCCAAAATCAAACACGAACCGTGGCATCCAATGGTATGATCTGCATTAGATACTGAGAATAGTACTTTTTTTTTTTTCCCTCTCCTTGTACTGTACTAAATTTCTGCCTTTGTTGTGATGATTTATTGTACCGCTGCACTGAAATCAGTTATAGTTCAGAGTCTACAAAATGAGCACATAGTTATCACTTTGAAAAGGTGCGAAAGTGGGCACGGTGCATTCTGCTACCATCTGTCTTAGCTTTTAAAATGGATTCCTGGTGATAGGACAGAATTACTCAATGCTGTTACAGGCTTAATTTCTATACAGTACTTATTAAAACAGCTTTTGCCATTGTTATTAAATTCGTAGCTAATTAAATGTCAACCTCTACCACTCCTCTTTGCAATGAGTAATGTAACACTGTTGTGACACCACTTGTGGAGCAGGATTCTACTGACTTTCACAAGAGGATGGCATCAGCCTTATAACTGGCTGCTGTACTTCAGGTACAAAATCCCATCGCAGCCTTAGGCTTTTATTGCGATGGGACCATTGGAGAAAAGAGATGATGGAATCTACCTATGAACAGCATGTACTAGAGCATGGTCTATCAGAGAATTCTGCCCTAAAGCAGATGGCAGTGTCTCCTTAAAATGCTTTTCTTCTGTAGTTTTAAGTCCCAGAGGATGGAGGTTTTACTGCCAGATTCCTGAAGGTCTTCTTGAATGACGTAAATTCAATTCAGAAAGTTTTTCTCCTGATATGCAACCCTAAATTTAGCGGGGGGGGGTGTGTAAAAATTTTAGAGGGGGGTTTAAATTTAAAGGAGTGCCTCCATTCTAAATTCTGGAAAATAAAAAATTGTGAGATTGCACTGAAAACATCAATTTCCAGTAGATTCTGAAGGTATTCATACTTCCCAATCGGAGCATCTGCTGTGTATCCTTCTCTAAAGGCATACAAGTTCTCATTGCTTGTAACAGTTAAAAAGAAAAATACTATTATTATTCTCAGTACTGTCCTTTAGGAAGTACTGTCACTGCACTAAAAAACATACAGCTGTACCTTTCACCAGATTGACTGTTTCTCTGTTGAGACAATGATTCACACAGAGGTACCAGTTGACCTGGAGAAAGATGTTGCAGTAAGTCATGCTAGTTTTATTTATTTTATAATACAAAAAAATAGGTTTTTTTTTAAAGGTGCAGATCCAGGGGAGAGAGGAAAACACTTGATGGGATTTAGCATCAAAGTCTAAAACTGTGCTCTTAAAATCCCACCGTAACAACCTTCTAAATGTGGAAGCACCCAAAATTCATCGCACATCTCCCTCTTTGCCCTGAGAGTCCCTGGGCACCGGCAGGACAGTTCTCTGCATGCACAGAAGTGCCCAAGCCTGCACAGCTTAGGTGCCTAGTTCCCAGATCCAGAAAGTAGGTGGAGCAGCACCTCTATCCCCTCGGGGGCCTGATTCAGCATGTGAGCTAAAACATGTTGACAGGATTTGGCCCCATATGCAAGAAAATGTCAGCTTTTTAATTTTTCATACGAGGAGGAAGGGTTCGGCTGATTTATGATCTCCTGCAGGTTAGAACGGTCTGTGAGACCGTAGAAGGGTTGGGTTGAGCGACCTCTGGGCTGGTCAGGAGGAATGTCCAAGCTGCTGGCTCTTGGGGCAGTGGACCAGGAGGCACCTTCCACCCCTCCCTCTGCAGCTGTCCTGCTGCAGAAAGGAATGCAGTCTTTTAGGTTATTACATAAAGATGGGTGTGAGCCCTCTCCTCTGGCCGCCTTTGAAAAGACGACATGCGTAGCTCTTTGAGAGCAAGATTTTAGGTGTCTGCCTCCAGTGGAGCGTTGTGATCCTGCCGGACAGTTTTGCTGCTTTGGCTCCAAAGCCCAGTCTCTAGGAAAGGAAAACTTTTGATGCATTTCTGGGCTGTGAGCAAGCCCTGAAACTGCTCCTCACCCAGCACCCAGTTCTTCTGGGCAGGCTGTTCTAACATGCCCAATTCCCTCCATCCCTTGCATTGGGAGCCTGAGTATCTAACTCACTAATTTAGGTGTTATTTGGAGGGTGGACAAAGTCCTTAAAAGCTGGGTGTAGAAATGGAATCAAATGTCAAAGGAGATACTACTGCTTGGTACTTACCATGGTGTTTAAACTCATCTGAGCAAAACTGTTCAGGTAGGACATAAGCTTGTTACCTGGGGCTGTCAGGCCTAGGTCATCACTGGGGAGATGTCCAGGCATCTATAGCAGGCGGTCTGAGCCCCGAAACTGTTTCTGTCCATTGGAGAGATACTGTATAGGAAGCCAAAATATATGTTGTAGGCTGTGTGAATTACTCAAATTTGAATGTAATAGGGATTCAAGTCCATCTAACTAGCATAGTTATCTACTCGCGTGGTAAAGGTGGTTCAAGGAAAGGCTGGAATGGGTGTTTAATAGATGTCGGTATAGAAAGCAGTTGTGAAAAAAGTATTGGCAAAAATAGACAAAGAGAGCAAAGGAGGAATGGGGGGAGCCTAGGCATTGCTGCAGCAGGGGGAAGAGTAGGAACATACTTCAAAAGCAAAGTGATTTATTCCAAACCGGATTTAAGGTGATGGTTCCACAGGTCAGGAAGTTAGGAAGTCGTCCGTGACCCACTGCGTTTAGTGAAAGCCTCTTGGGGCTATGAACAGTGAGTAGCATGTCTGCCCTATTAGAGAGAACAAACTCACAGAGTCTGTCTGAAACATTTTAGTTTCGTTTCTTGTGTTGTGTAGCAAATCCGGCAGTGATGCAGCAGCTGAATCGCGCTTCAGTTATGTCAAGATCATTTTCAATGGATCGCACTTGCATGCTTTTCAAATATAAACTTGTGGTAGCAATGTTACGCCAGGTGAATTCACTCTCAGCAGATCCAGCTGCAGGAACCACTGTCCTGGGCTACTTGCTGCTCACACAGGGGAAGCAACTAATGTATTTGCGTCGTCTCCTTCTCTGAATCATACAAGCCGGTATCAAATTTGCGTGCTGGCTAGCTTCCAAAAGAGAGGGAGATGGCTCTTTAAAGACTCCTTCATAAAAATAAAAAGTCTGTTCTCCTTTTAAAATTAAAAATTGATTTATAGCAAGTTGAAAAGGGTTGCTTTTGTCCTCTAAAAATGATAAAGATAGTGCTTGGAACAATGACTGAGAACACTCTACAAGATGTTTCTTACAACACAGTAACTGATCAGAGGAGGGAGGATAGAAAGAAAATAAAAAACCCTCATGAATATGTATGAAGTCAGTAGAACCCTGCTTTGATTTGAAATATTGGTGGTCTCTTCCCATTTCCAGTACCTATGGTAGATTTACATGGGTAATTTCTATCAATGCTAATGGGGATTATAATGTAAATCCCCCATGCCTCAATGGGAAAATAGACCCTTTGGTTTTCCATCAGGACCCTGCGTGCCCGCGTGCCTTCATTAGGAACGTGTTATATTGCAGCAGGAAAGATGTACAGGTATTTACTGATACAGTTTGTCCAAGTTTTCACATGCAATTCACCGCGATGTAGAGTCTTTGTTAAGAAGGAGGCAAAAGCCACCAGCCCTGTCTCCCACTGTAGTCCTTCGGATACTGTTTCCAGAGGCCCACTACAATACTGGATTCTGATCAAGAGAGAGGATGGGCCTTTTCCCGAGCAGCTTATTAGTCTAAACCAACTGAGAAAGCACTGGAGGAAGGATAGTCTTACTATGTATTTGTCTTTTATTAATAAAACTCTGCTGATTTCCCGGGACTCCATTTCTGGGGTACCTGCTTGTCTTACTGAAAGGTACGGAGTTATGCTGATGCTATTAAATTATAAGTAGCCTTGAACCTCATCTACTTGAAAGTCTTCCTTTAACAAATAGTTAAAGGGTATTGGTGGAGCCAAGTTGAGGGATTCTGAGTAATCTGCTGCAAAGCTAAAGATAACATTATTTTTTTTCCCCCGCTGTACCTGTAACAATGGGCTAAACACTTTATGGACCATTGAAAAGATAAAATCCCATCCATGCCCCAAGGAACTTTCGGTCTGAATAGACAGCGTACAAAGGAAGGGTGAGATCAAACTAGGCAGTGCCCTGCTGAGTCAGTAACCTGTTTTTTGTTTTAATTTGAGACTCTCAGCCTGTTTTTTAGATCGCTTTTTACTTCTAAAAAGTTGTAGTTACAGCCGAAGAAGCCATCGCATTCATATTTGCTAGATTTGCAGAAATTTGTAAATTACTCTGTTTATCTTAATGCAGCATTAACAGTTTCTGTCCATGGGTGATATTTTAAAATACTGAAATTTGTAATTGCAGTAGAGTGGACAGTCTAAATATCCAAGGAAAGGAGGAGAGCCATCTTTAGTGACACATCAGTTTAGTTTCAGAAGTAACTCACTGCTGGGAGAACGACCACCAGTTTGCCCAAGTCTGATAGATGTTACATCAGAGCTGAAGGACTCAATGGAAGGAGGTAGAGGAGAAGTGCCTGGGAAGGGAGATTTGAGGATGGAGGGACACATTGGCAGAACTAGGAAAGGGTGGGAGCGATCTAGCGCTGGCCGGATTTTCAGCCATTGCAAATGAGGATTGAAGTCAGGGGATCTGTGTGGGTCTGACATCAGGGGAGCTCTGATGAAAGAACACAAACCAAACCTAAAAAGGTATTAATAAACTGCTTTGGCTTCAGAGGAAAGCAAAAGTAATAATGAAAAATGGGAGGATTTATGAGCGAAGATTAAATGAGTTGCTTATGTTCACTTTAGCTCGGTAATGATTAAAGGGCACCTGATAACTGTCAGGCTATGGAAGAAAAAGGGAAATACACTCTCTGAAGTCCACCACATGTGACACCAAGCGAGATGATTTTTGTTAGATCCATTTGTACCTATCTTCATAAAATGATCATCCCTCCTCTTGCACGCTTTGATGAGCAGTAAAATAGCCATCAATTTAAATGACTGTAAGCACATTTTGAAATGAAGGGAGGCGCATCCCATCTGGTCTCAGTTTCAAGCAGATACTGCTAGGTGTTTTGTTGAATTTTGAAATTTTTATTTGTACTGTTAAAGCATTTTAGACTAAGTGCAGGATACAACTATTCAGGTAAAGCTTGACATCTGAACTGTTACAGCCTGTCCTAATTCTGGACCTACGATGCAAAACTTCTGGAAAGCAAGGCAGTAATAAAAGCACTGCTAAGGGCTAGAACTAGAAGTGTGTAAATTCAGTTAAACGCTAGTAAGAATTGCTAGAAAAGAAGAATCAGTTGAACTACTATATTAATTTTCAAAGGGGAACTATGGACAGCCGATCTCGTAGGTCACAGTGCTGGAAAAGATGCCATAGAAAACAATCCCACCCTAGCAAGCAGAAGATCAAATTTGAAAGCTTTCCTTGCTGGTCGTTCTTTTCCATCCTGTTTTTTTCTTTTTCCCCCCTCCAAATAGGGGATTTTATTTTCATTCTCAATTCTTCACATAGTAAAGAATCACATGTAACATTCAAGCAGTTTAAAAATTCGTAGGCCCTCATTTAACGTGCAGTATAAACCTTTATTACGCAGACTGTCTTCATTCTTTGTAAGACTGTTCCAGGAGATGGGCTTTTTTGTGTGTGTGTGATAAAGTGAGTATGTTTATAATGAGGTTTGGTGCTATTGTTATTCAAGATGAACTAGCCTGACAAGAGAAAGCCCTGCTGTGAAGACTGCATTGTATTCACGCTCTGAGCAGTCTTCTCCAGCCCATGTAACGTTGCATCCCCTACTGTATATAATTGCACATACTAGTATTTGGATAAAACCTAGTCGTCTCTTCCACTTAAAAGGGACCATGTGGAAAATTATTTGCTTTCTTGCTTTGGATCTAATTTCACGATCAGGTATATTGATAATAGTTTCAAACGCCTGCTGGTAATTGTTGTTTGGGTGCTTTTGTGTGGGTTACATCATCTCTCCCCCATTTCATTCCTCTCTTTCAGGAGAAATCCCAATGGTGAATTCATCAGTTGGACCAAACTGCTGTACATGTAATTGCCAGTCAACCCTACAGGCTATTCTTCAAGAGCTCAAGACCATGCGAAAATTGATGCAAATTCAAGCAGGTACAATGACCAGTCCAATACGTGCGTATCCGTGACGAGCATCTTCTTGTTAGGAGGAATGGCCTAGTAAGACAGAAATGTATCTGGAGACTCAGGAAAACCTGGACCGTTTCCTGCTCACTTGACACGTCGTTCAAAGTAAAATTTTCACAGGCTTCTTGGAAATATAATTTTTATTTCTCAGATCCTTAGCTGTAACATGGGATATTATCTTGTAGGGATCTTTTAAGGCTAAATTTAAAAAAAAATCTAATGTGATTCTATACTCTAGTAATGGGAGCTGAGTGGGTAGGTCAGTATGCCATAACCACCCCCAGTTTGTTTTCACGGTGTATTCATTCAGAGGTGCAAAATGCTACTTTTCCTGTTACCTGTTTACCAGTTCACTAATCTTAGGAGGAAAAAGAAAATTGGAAGGCCACTTAAAATTATTGTATAACACTTCATTCAAAGATCTTTCAAGTTACAGCTCCGTGGTACCCTAAACTGAGCTAGCCGCTGCATGTTGTGGCCTCCACCCTTTTTCAGGCTGGTTTACCAGTTCTTTCTGCTGGCTGAACCAGCAGTAATCTGTTCATTGGGGAAAACTGTTGAGTCTAGTTTTCTGCTAGGTTAGGAGCTGAAACAGAACAGTGCAGAGCCAGAAGGGCACTAGGGCCAGCAAGATAACAAGACCATTGCAGCTAAGAGTTAGGTAGGTCATCGTAGGCTGCTGTGAAGCCGTAGCCTCCATGCTTCCTAAAAATTAGTGTTAATGCTAATGAGGAGTTGGAGACATTGGAGATTTTGTTGGTTGAGTTGCCCATCCATCATGAGTGATGGAGGTTTTTCTCTTAGAGTAGCTGGATAAGACCTCTGCAAGAAAAGGGAGTGTTGACTAATTAACTGAAATATGGGTGGAGCGAAGGGCTGACTACACTCCTTGTCTCCACAGTGTATAATGCTTGAGTGAGCGACAGGAAGGGTCACACGGGTTTTGTAATAATCAGTTGATACACATAAAAATGCTTTTCAAAAAGTCATCGATTTACAAAGAAGCACGTGAAGGCCCAGTTTTACAGTCTCTGCTGGGGCAGGGAATTCTTCACGCAGTTGCACCAATTTCACTGAAATTACGTGCATGATTAAAAATGGCTTGTGGGGTTTATGCCGGAAGAGCTGGCTCCTCAATAGCAGGAATATTTCTTATTTATTATGTATCTACAGTATAAATAGCTTGTTAATTAGTGACTCTCTTGATGAAAAGGCCTGGGAATAGTTCATATTTTCTGGTAGGCATGAAATGATGGTTTTGCAGAGAAAAAAAATCATTTGGTATTTTTGTTGCTAAAAGAAAAAAAAACTAAAATGCAAACATATACATGAAAGTGTAGTAACTTATTTTAGTATTCAAACACCCTTCTGTCTAAATGATAAACTACAAATGACAGTCTTGTAAATCCTCGCCAGAAATGAAATATCCCAGAAATCTTTTAATAAACGGTATTCTGAGGTTTGTTTTTTTTCCTCAAGCTTTGTAGATGAGGACTATTTGTAGTTCACTCGTAGCTCGAATGAGTTTGATTTCCATGTGTAGCACTTTCAGCTTTTTTTGTTTTGACCTTGATCTTACTGATTCATCCAGACATATAATTGTATCTGCATAGCATTCTGCTGGAGGACTCGCTCATGTTGATACAGGTTCAGGATTGGTGCCTTAATTTATACAAATGATTGTGGATACTGGAAAATGCAAAATACTTATAAGTGCAAAATGTGGTCTCTTAGATTTCAGAGGTAACACATGAACTGTTAGTTTCCGTGTATGAGCAAAACAAACTGATGCAACTTTGGGTTACTTTTTTCCCAGAAATTAAACTATTGAACAGTGTTTTCACTCATTCTTGACATAATGGTACTTGAAATGTTCTTGCTGAGCTAATTAACTTGGTGACTACATTCATAAAAATAACTGTAATTGCATTAGCACTTGTATTATCTTACTTTATCAGGAAAAGATGCTCAAAGACAATGAGATTCTCAGTCATTCAAGAGGGTATACAAATTAACCATTGCTTAAGTCCTTCATGTCACCAACCATCCAGTGGTCACTAGGAAAAAGAACCACGTATTCCTAATTTTCCTAAAATGCTATTCATCAGTATGTCTTGAAAAACCTCATAGTGGAGCTCAGTGTCATTATCTCCATTGTACAGATTGGAAAATTATGCGAAGGTGATAAAATGTAACTGTTTCACATGCACAAACAGCCCTGAAAACCATACCACTTATCCAGAAGATAAGTTCAGTATGTCGGTAGCTTAATGGTGCGTCCGTGTGGTTATACGTGTGCTTTTTTCTATAAATTTAATTCATTACTTTCTTTCATTCAGTTGGGACTCAAAACAGACAGCAGCCTCCTGTTCCTCTGATTTGCGCACAGAAGTCAACTATATCAAGAAAGAGGAATAAAAAGAAAAAACTGCCCCTCAAAACTGTTGAACCAATTACCATGAATAAGAAACTGAACATTGCGGAGAACGAAAAGAAGCTATCAGCAAACTCGGAACGATCGAGTCTGCAAGCAGTTGAACCCCCCCTAAAACCAGAAACCCCTGTTTCAGGATTTGGAATTATCCTTGAATCGGCTTCATCAGATGTAAGTTAATATTTTAATACGCAGGATCACAGGATTTTAAAGCCGTAACTCATCCAGGAGAATCAATACTCAAGTCAGCTTGAGTGTGTTCCCTCTTCTTATTAGATTAAACAAGCAAATCTTGAGTAGGGTTGAATGGAGACAGTAGGGTTAGACGTGGGGAGTTTGGGGTTTTTTTTTCAACTGAGTGCTGATTACAAAATTTTAGGGTTTTTTTTTTCAACTTTCATGAGCATGTAGTTCTCCCTTGAGTTCAGGGCTGCCTGTTGTTTGAGCTTGCAGTGGAAACTTGTTCTTCATCTCTCCTGCTGCCAAAAGCCACTGTGAGATCAGGAGCCGTGAAAAGTGCTGCGTGTATAAACCGTCACAACCCTGTCATTTGCTGATGAGTGCGCATAGTCCACACGTATGCCCTTATCCTGCCAAGATGTATTTATGTGCTGTGTTTCATGCCTGGCTGGTCCCACGGGCTTCAGGGGACTCCTCACCTCTATAAAGTTCATACTTTGGTCTTTGTTGAATCAGGTCATTTGGTCTTCATCACTGTGGTTGCTGGATGAGGGCCTTGACGCTGTTGATGATGTCAGTGTGACTAAAGGGGTCATAATTTGCCACTCTAAAAATACGTACTTTTTATGTGTAAAATTGCAATAAACGTGCCTTCTCGATTCATGTAACATGTACGCATTGATAGAAATTTCATGTATCTGGTGGCTGATTGGCTTTGGTTAATGACCAAATAGATGGCGTCTGAACCAGTTCACTGATGAGTAAACTGATCATTAATTTCTCTAATATATTTTTAATTTTGAGCAGGCAGTTTCCAATTTCCTAAGTACTATGAGCTAGAAAAACATAATTAAATTCAGTATCAATAAGCGTAAATGAAAACAATGCAGCAGATAATATTCTACCTTTCTGGAAGTAGGAACTAGTAATAAAAAAGAGCAGTCACGATAATTCAGTTATATAGATGCAAGCCACACCACTAATTAGATTGCAGTCTCATGCCACAGAGTCGGCGTAGTGATACAGAGTAACTAGTTTGATGCTTTTTCAGGGGTTTTCCTTTTGTAGTATTATGCTTAATAATGTTTGAGGGAATGGTTTGGGGAGGCACTGGTAATTTATCTCCAGTATGCAATTTGTGCTTATAGTTTTTCTTTCCTTGTGGCACTCTTTTCAGCTTGAAACACGGTTTTGAAAACAGTTTTGTACTCGTGATGGAATTTAATTTGGCTTTATGAATGTGTTCCATCGCTGGACACAGTTCTTCGCAGGTGCCAATTTAACCTAAGGAAAAAAAGAAGAGAAAACCTGTGGCTCATAAATCAGGTCCTCATCTGCCCTCCCATGCTTTGACCCCTGTTTGCCACAGTAGTTGTTTGACTAAATTTACAGAGTCGGAACCCTGAAAAAAACAAATTGATTTTGTTTTGTCTTTGGAAAGAAAAGAGTTGAGTTCTGAAAATAGTTATATTTAACAGTGAAAATAAAATGTGACCTTCAACATTTTGAGAAGGCTAAAGAAAGTAACTTCTTTCAGAATGAATGGCGGTATTATCTTTTTCTGTTTATTCATAAGCATCTCTAGCGTGTTCACGACCAGCGTGTCCGAGTGCCTGACAAAACTGAAAGACATTTTATGCAGCACCATAAATAAATGTTCCCTTGAGAATATTGCACGGGTTGTCTGTAGTGTGCGCTGTGTCATACGCCAGGACTGCCGCCGCTGTTATTTTGCCAACATTTGTTGAACTTCAAGAAAAATCTCAGTTTAATGTGTATAAAATTGGGGCTACCGAAACCGGTGCAATTAGTTCAGATTTGCTGAGAGGAAATACTGCTACTTATGGAGGTGGAAAAAGGCTTTGTGAGACCAGCTCTTAATCTGGCCCATGAATCAGAGAACCTGCTTTTTAAAATGTAATGATCTGTTACTCTTAGTTAATCTTTCTTCTGTTTGTTTTACTGTTACAATATTTCATTTATAACATAATCATTTCTAATCTACGTAGTACAACCTACTAAAATGTCTAGGACTAAATTTAATTCGCTGCCTGTTAAATTTAGCACAACAAAAGCCTTTGGCATTCAGGTCTTATTTATTGTATTGTACACAAATAGTTTACCCACCAGTTCCTTATGCCGTGATCATTATCTACTAACAAATGCTTTTCCTTTTGAGAAATCACATTCCAAGTGATCATAAAGTTCAATTAGCTACTGATTGTCTTTGATTGAAGAATAGTTTACTACTAAAGGAAAGCAAGAATAAATCAGCGTTCTGCCTTCAAATTGTGTCGCTGATATACAGATTGACTCCTATATTAAGAATAAAATAGTCAAAACTAAAATAATATTGACTCCTCCATGCTGGTACACTGGTAAATGTATTTAATGAAATGTATTTTACAGCTGTATTAGTGAAGATGATTTGTCTGCCCTAGGCGTCTTTTATCTTTGAGGTCATCTTAGATTGCTATCATAAGACCCAAGACCCAAGTAACGGAATACGACAGGATACCCTCATCACCATGACAACTACATTCTGGGGTTTGATTAACATGAAGTAGAATTTTTCCCAAGTTGTAAACTTGGCCCACGTTTATTTACTCTTGAAAATCTTTTCTGTCACCAGAAAGTTTAGAAGTAACATATTAAAAACTCACCTACCTCAGAAGATTGTCATATGTCAAATAGAATAATTCTGACTGTTTTGCTGGATCCAGCATTTTGAAAGTTCTCAAGGTAAAAAACAACGTTTCATCCAGAACAAGCTGAGAAACTTGTGTGCTTTTTAGATTTTTTTTTTTAAATACTTATCTGCATATTTTAAGATTCTTCGTCCTGGCTTCACAAAGCATTGTAATTTTCAGTTTTATCACACAATACACATGCATATCCAATGATAGTATATGCTTTGAAAATATTCTGCTTGCTGTAACTCTCTTGATATTGATTTTAAAAAATCCATGGGAAAAGAGTTACACAGCCAAATCCTTCTGAGATTGGCAGCCCTTTCTTCTGTGTAGACTCAAGATGTTTGCAGGTGATTTGATGGGAGATGGCATTTGCTCTTGCTCTGTAAACATCATGAAAATGCACCATCACTGGTGTATATATTTTCATATCGGGGAAAAAAAAGAGCAAGTTATTAGGAGCAAGGCTGTAAAGTTAGCTTATTTTCTCACATTGTGGCCACTGATTTTTTCCCCCCTTGCCAACTTCCAGATAATATCTTAAAAATTTTAGTTTATTCATGATGTATCATCATTCTAGATATATAATTATTGCATACAGACATAGAATCATGGAATCATTAAAGTTGGAAAAGACCTTTAAGATCATCGAGTCCAACCATTAACCTATCACTGCCAAGTCCACCACTAAACCATGTCCTCGAGCATCACGCCTACCCTTCTTTTAAATACCTCCAGGGATGGGGACTCAACCACTTCCCTGGGCAGCCTGTTCCAATGCCTGACTACCCTTTTGGTGAAGACGTTTTTCCTAATATCCAACCTAAACCTCCCCTGGTGCAGCTTGAGGCCGTTTCCTCTCGTCCTATCGCTTCTTACTTGGGAGAAGAGACCGACCCCCACCTCACTACAGCCTCCTTGCAGGGAGTTGTAGAGAGCAATAAGGTCTCCCCTCAGCCTCCTCTTCTGGGGCCCAAAACTGAACCCAGTACTCGAGGTGCGGCCTCACCAGTGCCGAGTACAGGGGCACCATCACCTCCCTGGTCCTGCTGGCCACACTATTCCTGATACAGGCCAGGATGCCATTGGCCCTCTTGGCCACCTGGGCACACATCTTGCATAAGCATTGTGTGGTAGTCATAGAAAAAGTACTGTAAATATTGTTCATGTAATTTCTGATATGTACAGACAGGGGCAGCAAAAAGACTGTTAGTAAGGGGGCTTCCTTGCAGGCCTTTGTCTGCTTTGGCCCACAATGCACTTGAGGCGAGACTTGTGAAATACAGGATAATTTTGTTCCCTCTTCCTCCTCTCCATCTCACTTTCTGGCAATGGCGTAAATCCCTGTGATTTGCCACTGAGGGTTTTTGTGCTGAAATAAGCTGTCTATCTAACATCATCCTCTTCTAAGGATGCATTTTGGGAATAGGAAAAGGAGGGATAAGTGGCTGATTAGCAAGTGCTGGCTCCAAGGGCAACCTCAAACTCATCAGCTGCTTCTACTCATATGGGCTGTATCTGTGCTGGAAGCCCTCTTGGGAAACCACATGGAACAGGCCGGTAGCCCTGCAGTTGCCCTTCTTGGAAATGCCTGGCTGCCCCACAGCATGCTTGTTCACATCATTTGGCAGTGAAACAAGTCCATAAAATGGTTAGATAAATGTCCAAAAAGCTTTGCATGGGAGTATTGCTCTGGGATGATCCTCTGGTTTGTCGTTATTATCCAATATTGAAAGGTACCTCTTTTCTTTTTGTTAGCTGTACGCCTAGAAATAATGTTAGTAATTGTTAAGTATTACAGTGGCTAGACACGAGTATGATTATTTGATTTGCCTTTTAAGGTGCTTATTCACTGATGGGGTTTGATTTCAATGAAGGAGGCTGCTGTGGTACTGAATAGCTGAGAAAAGATTCATGGTTTGATTAAGTGATTGTAAAGTCTCACCAGATGCATGATTGAAGTAAAATAATGTATTCGAATGCTCTTTTAGTTAAAACATTTGTATTCTTTTGGTAGCCAGAAGTGCAACTTGCAGAAGGCTTTGACGTCTTTATGCCGAAATCTCAGCTGGACTCTATATTATCAAACTATACTCGCTCAGGAAGTCTGCTCTTTAGGAAGCTGGTCTGCGCATTTTTTGATGACAAGACTTTGGCTAACTCTTTACCAAACGGCAAAAGGAAAAGAGGGCTCAATGACAACCGGAAAGGACTAGACCAAAATATTGTGGGTGCAATAAAAGGTACCGTTTTTGTTTTCTTTCATATGTGTAATTAGAACATATTCTCAGCTAAGGAGAGTGTAAGGGGCTTAGAATTTCTGACGTGCATTAGGTCTACTAAAATATGCAGTCTTATTTTTATTCCCTTTCATTCACTTGTTAAAAATAGCTTCTACGGGGACAGCTTGTGTTAATTTTAAGCCAATGATCCCGGTTTCTGAAGTCAGGCTCTAAGGTTAGAATCTCAATGTTCTTATAAGATAATTATTTTTTTTTCCGGATATCAAAGATGCAAAGAAATCTTGAAAACACAATGACAGTGTAACTGATCCTCTTCAATCAAAATTCTGAGGCTTGCACTGCATCTGACTGTGTCTGCTCTGTAAATAGTTTAGTAGTTGGTGGCTGGACTGGGGAGAGATGGAGGAAGATAATACTGGGACTGAGATGAGTTTGATGCTCATAGGAACTGTGGTGGTCCTCCTCTTGTGGGAGCAAATTTCTTAGTCAGTGTGAGGATCCTGTGCTGCGTGGTTTTTCTTAGCGGTCACTGCTTTCTTGCTTCCAGAACACACGTACCTTCAAACTCTGTGATCGCAACGTATAAAGAGCTAGTATTAGGCCAGAGATTCTGAATGGGATTCTATTATGTTGAAATTTGATATAGTAGGAAAAATACCCAAGTTACCAAAAGACAGGCTGTGTTGCAAAGTAAAGCTTATTTTAGAGGCCATGACTTGTCCTGAGATGCAGATCACTAACCTAGGAGATATAAGGCAATGAGAAGAGCTTCTGTAAGTAGATTGGCAGCAAAAGGAGGCAGGGGAACCTTTTACAACCACCTCTGTGTCCACTTTTGGTCCCCCTCTCCCCATGCAAGAAAGACATTGACATACTGGAGTGAGTCCAGTGTAGGGCCACCAAGACTTACGGTACTGAAGCAGGTAATTGGTGAAGTATGTATGTGAAGTGACATATGAGGAGAGGCTGAGAGAACTGGAGAGAAGAAGATTCAGGAGAAACCTTATTGCTGTCCACAACTACCTAATGGGATGGTGTAGAGGAGATGGAGTCAGACTCTTCTCAGAGGCACAAGAGGCACGGGACACATGGAAAATTTCAACATGATATAAGGAAAAGCTTTTTCAACGTAAAGGTGGTTGAACAGTGGGATAGGAGCTCAGAGGGGTTGCAGGATCTCCATCCCTGGAAGTACTCAAAACTGGTCGCAGTCCCGAGCATCATGATCTAGTTGGCCATGCTTTGAGCAACAGGCTGGACATGGAGACCTCCAGAGGACCCTTTCAACCTGTGCAATTCTGCGATAAAGTACGTGTTGTGGCTATGTCATAGTCCTAATACATCTTACAGAGTTTCTGGCAGACTTTCTTATAGTTATGCTTATAATTAGATTTCAATCACAAACACTTTTTTATACCTTCTTTTCTTGAGCTCAGTAATCTGCAAAAATCCAAAGTTGAATTCACTCCATCTGTGTCTCGTTCTTCCTTAAAAGCTTTGATAAATAAGTTAAATGGAAGAAAAAAGGAGTTCAAAATTACTTTAAAAAAAAACAAACCTCTAATTTGAGCAGCACTGTGATAAAAGAAATGTTTTTCAGTAGATGCAGCAGCACTATTAAAATAGCAATCGTTACCCACTGCAGAGAGCAGTGTTTCTCAGTAGCTAAGCTCATATTACTGGAGCAAATTCTGAAGCTTGGTTTAACCTCTTCACTTGAGCTCTGGGGGAAGAAAGGAGGGAGTTGTAGTTCCGACAGATAAATTTCACCTGTGATGGTACTACTAGGTACTGCTGTAATAACAGTGATCTTTATTGGCATTTACTGTATTGCCCAAATGCCTGATCGCTGATAGGGGAGCCCATCCCTAAAAGCTGTGATGGAATAAGATGCCAAGGGCTGACGTCCTGTGGATCTTTACTCGGCCTGGCTCCAATAGCACCCTTCTTCCCTCCAAGAGCTGGGCTATCAGACACTGTGGTTTCATTTATTCCAAGAAATAACTGAGCCAGTATGAAATCTCCACAGGAACAACATCATGTTGTTTGCATTATTATCATTAGGACATTCCTCTACCACGTGCCCAGATATCCTTTAGTGGCACTTTTAGTCCTTTTCCATGACAGGGATACAAAAGTGGAGAAAAGGCTACATTCATGACAAAAACGAGCAGGAAACTTAAAGGAGGGACTGTTTGCTTGAAAATCACTCTTCCTGTCTGAAAACATTTTAACTGCCATCCTTGCAAGTAATTTAATGCTTCTGCAACAAAATGATTAGCCAGGGAGAAATTCTCTCTTTCAACTTTGGGTATTCAGTGGCACTTGGTGAATCAGTTGCAGTGTTTCTCCTGGGCAGCCAGTTTCCCTTGTGAGTCACATCAATCTTTCACTCAGGACTGGGGGGAAAAAGAAAAAAAGGGATCAGAAGTGGTTATTTTTCCTTTATGTCGTTGACTAGAAATCCAGTCAGTGAAGTCCTTCCCTGCAGAAGTCAAGGAACTGTGTTCAGATGTATGTGTGATGTGTCCCTCAGGGGTCCGTACCAGGACCAATACTATTTCATATCTTCATCAATGATATAGTGGGATTGAGTGCACCCTCAACAAGTTTGTGGATGACATCAAGCTGAGTGGTGCAGTAGATTTGCTAGAGGGAAGGGATGCCATCCAGAGGGACCTTGGCAGCTTTGAGGAGTGGGCGCGTTTGAACTTCATGCAGTTCAACAAGGCCAAGTGCAAGGTCCTGTACCTGGGTTGGGGCAATCAATGCAGACTGGGGGATGAATGGATTAAGAGCAGCCCCATGGAGAAGGACTTGGGGGTACTGGTGGATGAAGAGCTGGACATGAGCTGGCAATGTGCTCTCGCAGCCCAGAAAGCCAACCGTACCCTGGGCTGCATCCCCAGCAGCGTGGCCAGCAGGGCGAGGGAGGGGATCCTGCCCCTCTGCTCTGCTCTGGTGAGACCCCACCTGGAGCCCTGCGTCCAGCTCTGGGGTCCTCAGCACGGGAAGGACATGGAGCTGTTGGAGCGGGGCCAGAGGAGGCCACAGAAATGATCGGAGGGATGGAGCACCTCTGCTGTGAGGAAAGGCTGAGAGAGCTGGGGTTGTTCAGCCTGGGGAAGAGAAGGCTGCGGGGAGACCTTATTGCGGCCTTTCAGTACTTAAAGGGGGCTTATAAGAAAGACCGAGAGAGTGTTTTTACTAGGGCCTGTAGTGACAGGACAAAGGGGAACGGTTTTAAACTGAAAGAGGGTGGATTTAGATTGGACATAAGGAAGACTTTTTTTACAATGAGGGTGGTGCGACACAGGCACAGGTTGCCCAGAGGAGCTGTGGATGCCCCATCCCTGGCAGTGTTCAAGGCCAGGTTGGATGGGGCTTTGAGCAACCTCATCTAGTGCAAGATGTCTCTGCCCATGGCAGGGGCTTGGACTAGATGATCTTCAAAGGTCCCTTCCAACCCATTCTGTGATTCTATGATATAGGGAGTTGTTAGCACTGTACAGCTCAGGTGGACTAGAAAGAGGAGGTCCCACTTCTCCTGCCTCCTTCCTATTGCATTCCCATTCTTTTTTGCCCACGTTGATGTTTCCCTAACCACATGTTGAGCAATCAAAGCTATTTTGACTTTCATTCAAGAGAACAAGCAAGTTAGAGAAGAGAAGCAAGTTCAACGGTGGGCAGAAGTCGTAACTCCCACAGTAGGCACCTGCAGCGGGTGGCCTGGGTACAGCCTGGTGCCACAGATTGTCCCCAGGCCCAGGTCACAAGCAGGAACTGCAGTTGTGTGTTTGAAGTAAGCAGGAGTCTTAAGTCATTGATCAGGTTCCCGTTGTGTCAGGTACTGTATGGATTCAGAAGGGAGAGATTAGTTCTGCCTTCATAGAGACCATAATTGTTGCAAATCGGACATTGGCAATGTGTGGGGCTGTATTGACTTCTCTGGGAAGCCCTTGGTCTGACGTCCTTGCTGATCAGACTACAGAGGAAAGTATTGCTAATGCCTTTCATGCAATGGTTTTGTGAAGTTGTTAACATGGAAAGAAGGTGTGATTACTTTCGGTCCCTTTATACTTACCAGCTAGCGCTGTTTCAAAAGCATGTGTATAAAAATACTGAAATTGGCATTTTTTGTTGCATGCACCCCCATCCCATTCGTGTGACATTTATTCTCAAGGATTACAAATCCCTTGAGCTGGGACCAGTGTTCGTTCTTTGTTTGCCAGTCATAACAGGACACTGAGCTCTGAGACCTCTGACCAAGACTACAATAGCAAAACGTAACAGTGATAATATTTTTTCTGGTTTTGCTCTTGTTTATTTTTTGCACACCTCTCAGTTGCGTGATGAAAATCAATTGCATCAGTTTCAGCCCATTTATAATTTTGTATTTTTGGTATAACATTGCTAGGTTTGCTGTAAATATGGAATTAAAGGTAATGTTGACCCTCTATGTACCATTTTTGCAAAATATAAAATTGGACCTCTAAGATACTTTTTTTTTTTCAATAATGACTTTTTTTTTCTTTAGTAGCTTTATAAAAATTCTATTCCATCTGGTTTGGCAGTATGAGAACTGTAGAGATTTCCGCAGTGGTAAGACTTCTGTCTTTCATCAGTTTGCCTGCAGCTTTAGGAACCCGACCAAGAGGCCACCAAATGACCAGATCTTCAGCTCTCTATTTGTATCATATGGGAGGCAGCATTTATAAGTGCCTGCCACAGCTGGAGATTCAGTTCAAAGTACACTATTCTTTTTCTGTGATGTTTTTGTGCGAGATTCATGAATGGAAGACATCAGGTGTAGACTGTTTCTCTGGGATAGGCTTTTATAAGTGGTAACTATGGTATTACTGTGATATTTGTACACACAAATGACTTCTGAATGATAAAGTTGTGAAACACTGAGTTGGACTCTATTCTCACAATCCTAGATTTGGCTATTTAAATGCTTTTTGATAAGTGGATAATTTGATGTATTTTGTCTATAATCTTCTCCAGTCTCCTTTTCTCCATTCTGGTGGAACATTTCAAAAAGATGGTATCTTTTTATTTCAGTCTTTACAGAAAAATACTGCACTGCTAACCATGTGGATAAACTTCCTGGTCCTAGGGACTGGGTCCAGATTCTTCAGGATCAGATTAAACTTGCAAGAAGACGATTAAAAAGAGGCTCAGGTATGTATAAAACTATAAGGAACAACATGTGAGCATAAGATTAAAAGCTTAGAGCCTTTGTATCCACAGAAGTGTTTTTCTTGTTGACAGTAGAGTTGTACATGTTCACTCTATGAAAATTAGACCTGTAAGATTTTAGCAGGTTTCTGTGTGAAGTACAGTGTTTCCTTATGTTTGGTATGGTAGCAAGTTCAGGAGCTGTCTTTGCAGCCAAGTTAACTTTGAGTCTTTCTCAAATGTTGTCTCTAACGCCTTTCCATTAGCACCCAAACCCTTCTTCGCAGTGTTTGATGAAATCTGAGTCCTAAACTAGCTGATCCATCCAGGGTTGCAGGTAGAAGGTTTTTAATTCTTTGTTAGTGGTCTGACAAGCCACTCATTGTACTGTTAAGACATAACGCAAATGACCTTTCCCTCTAAAATATATGTTTCTGGAAGGAAGGATAGATGAGTTTTCTCACATTCTTTGTGAAAGAATCAGCATCCCTGTAGCAAAAAAAAAACACCACCCACCCTGGTTGTGCCAGGAAGGCTCTGCAATACATGGGAGGGAGCTTGCCAGCAGTGAGTAACAGGTAATGTAGGTAGGGTTTTGCAGCAAAGCTGCTCAACTTGGCCTGGGATAACCTGTGTGCTTGGGGCTGGGACCAGCCTGCAGTGAAGGCTCAGCGCTAAGCTTTCACCACGACAGCACGCAGCTGGTGAGCTCTCAGTTCCAGCGACGAACAGCAACGTGCAGTCTCGAAATCCCCGGTAGAATTCATGGGAAAGCAATATCACTGATTAAGAGACGTGTAATTACTTTATAAACCTTAACTAGTCTCCTTCCCATATTCATGCCTCCTATCCTACAAGGGGCTTTCTTCATACAAGGCTTCACCTACTCTTCCTCATCCTCATGTTTTCTTAAGGCTCTCGTGTGGTCGTATTTGTTGCCCGTCTCTCCCTTGGAGCAACTGATACCGTTGTCTGAGGCACATCACTTGTGCCAACGTCCTTAAACACGGTCCTTCACTGTTACCGTATTTAGCTGCCTGCCTTTTCCCCTCTTCCCTTCTGCCCATCACCACAATTAAGTGCCTGTTAGCATCCGCGGGTTGACAGGATGGGAAACCTGATGGCTCCACAGGGGATGCTGGTGGTCCCCGTGGCTACCGGGAGGTGAGCGAGACTGAAGGAAATGTCCTCTCCAGCTCCTCATCTCAGAGAGCCAACGTTTTCTGTCCAAAGCTGTGTCTCTGAAACACACACTTAGACTGGCATCTGAAATCATTCTCCACAACGTTACTAATGCCAGGAGGGAAAAGCATAAGACTGAGGAAAATGAGAAACACCCAGAGACAGAAATAACACAGGGGGAGGAAAAAAGTGCAGATTATTCAGTAGCATAAGCTTCCCTGAGTAGAGAAGCGAACGAGCACTAGCCTTAAAAAGGGTTTCTTGTGCTTGTTGGGGGAGGGAGGAGAGAGGGATACAAGATAATCTTGTTAAAGACAGTGTCAGATTACTGGTGGTGTACAACAGGACTGCTTTCTGCCCCTTCCCAGGCTGGCTGGCCTCCCCCCAGGACAGGAGGGTAGAAGCGGGATGCCAGGCTTCGGCAAGGTGAAGAGTGCAGTGAGGGATGCGGGGAGTGGAGGGTCCTTGGGCTGTCTGCAGAAGATCCCTCGGGGAAGAGGATTGACCTAATTTTGTTTTGATTTTTATTTTCTTTCATCCTTTTTTATTTGCTTTTCTTCGTGCCTCTGCAGGATATTAATTAAAATGACAATGACATTCAGCTTTTGCCTTTCAAATAGGGCCACCTCCATCTCTGGTCCTTTCTCAGGATGGGAGAATCTAAGCAGAGTATATTGTCTCTAAGCTAGCAAGACTATGAAGAAAAATAAGTGAAGCTGAGTATAGTTTGACTGAATAAGATAGGCTCCAATATCTGCCTCTGCCTGCAGAGGGAAGGTAACTCGCTATCTGGTATGTGGATGAGTAGTGAGCAGCAATGTACCTAGCAGCCCCTCAGCTTTATTTGTGAAAAAAAGTACACAATACCTAGATTGGTGGAAAAGTTCTTTTTTGTGTTGTTTAGTTCACTGGCCATTCCCTGAAGTGCACCGGTTTCTCTCTGACATGAGACCACAGGCAGACATTCTCTTTTCAGTCTAGCAGGAGTGATTGAATACACCACTGTGGCCATCTGCACCTTACCGTCCACTGCCATCTTTACCGGTGGCTTAAGCTAACTCAATCTGACCTTACACTGAAGGAAACGAGAAGTTTCCACAGCCTTGGTGACAGCAAAGCAGCAGATAGCTGCACAGAGGCAGGAGCAGACAGCTGGTTGCAGTAACATCTTCATCTTGTTGAAACAAGATTTGTTAGTACTTGGGTGTTACAACCATGAGCTTCTGATATAAGGGACATAGAACTTAACAGGCGACAGATCCATCTAGTACCGTATTTTGTTTCCAACGATGGCTGTTAGCAGATGCCTGGGGAGGTCTATAGGACCGAGGGAAGGATGTTGCGATGCTTGCTAGCATAGTCTCACAGCCCTCAGCAGCTTTATCCTGATATAGAACTGGGTGTGTGGGAACTGTGCACATTTTAACTATTCATTATGAAGCGATACCAAAATCATTAGAGCTGTGTGTAACTTACAGAGACTGAAACAGGAGGGGAGGGCAGGCATGGAGGGAGGTTTGATCTGCTATGGGGAGAAGGTGTCCCAGGACTCCATGTTGCAAAACTTAGCTTTTAAGAATCTGAAGACTATGGGAATCACAGCCACTGAGACGTGGGACTCATCACTCTTGCAGCTGAGCTCCTGAGCTCTTCCAGTCCACGTGTGGCCGGTGGAGCAGAGGCTGAGCCCTTCCGAGTGAGTGTCCTCAACGTTCGTACTCCCAGGTCATTCTCTCTTAGTTTTGTCTTCACTTGCTCACTGAAACACGCTGGCTAAGTTTGTGGGTATAGACTAAGTTGCCCGAAGAACAAATCTGAGCCAGCGTTCAGCTAAATTCACCCGAGACTTTCTGAGCCAATGTGTCTCCCTGCTGCCTGATCACACTGATTTCTCTACATCGGTTTCTGGCTTGTCGTAATGCGCAGGGTTTATATGGAAAAAGCTTAAGATGATCCATTTATTTTACAGAAGCCACAAGACAACTTTTTAGTGACCACTGAGTTGGGCTAAATTTTAACAGCAGAAGTATTTAAGAGAGGAGGGGCAGGCTTTCCATCCTGCTTGCCTTCCCCTGAGCCATTCAGTACATCCTCCAATTAGTTTTTCATTTCAAACCAGGCAGCAAGACACTGCATTCACAAGCAGCCCTCTTCACTTCATCCTGTGAAATATTATTTCAGTCTGATAATGTAAATCCTGCTCTAGCTTTCAGTGATATTAATAATTTCAGAGAATTCTAGCAAACGAGTGGGGTGGATCTGCTTTTTGTACCTCTTTCTATAGGGTGTACTCTCCTGAGTGTTTCCAAATTAAATGAAATCATCATCACTGGATCATAGAAGCTGCCCAGCTTCAACCTTATTTATGATGTTTGGCTCATCTAGAATTAGGGACAGAAAAGCTCCCTACTTGGAAAGCTAATCAAAAAAACACTTAAAAAATCTGCTTTCTAGAAAATAGTTCCCCTGTGTAGATTTTGAAAGGTTGTTATCCTAAGCCAAATAAAAATTCAGTTAACTTCTGAATCAGTGACAATATTTTTCGTAGCTGGAAATATTCTTGTTTTAATTTATTTATTTTGCTTTGGCTTTTCCTTAGTTCTTTTAGATTATTGCCTGAGATCTGAGACTTGGGTAGGTTTTTTTTTTATTTGTTAGATCTGAGAATAAAGCTGTCACTGCCATTAAATTTTTATTGGCCTTGTTCAGTCTTTTCAAAATTTCAAAAGTCGGCTGTCACAAAGGGGAGAAGAGACTGCGAGGTTAATGTTACAAACAGATGTTATAATTAAAATTAGAGTGTGGTAATATTCTTCAGCCTTGACTACTGGTCCCATTTCATGCCAACAGCACAGCGTACTGGGGCATGGCTTCATAGTGCCAGAGCTGTCTTCTCCCAGCAGAGAAGCTGAACCTTTTTGGCTGCTGGGATGGGATGCAAAGTGGCCTTGGAAAGGAAGAAGACAAAGAAAAGGCACGTGCATAGGTTTCCTTTCTTAAAGCAGCGTGAATTACGATGCAAATTGCCGTGTAATTTACGGTGGCGGGTTTCCCACGGCGTGGTCTTTTCACCCTGCAAAAGAGAATGTGGGTAGGTGGCTGGTGGCCTTGCCAGTGGCAGCACAGAGGGAGACAGTCGGCCATTAGCACAGAGATCTTAAAACGGGTAAAATCAGAAGGAACTGACTCGCTGTTCATGTCACCTCTGTGCCAGACATAGCATCCAAGCCTTTTGATTACTGAACTCTCCATCCATTAATAAGCAGTAGGTCAGGGGCCACACATCTCTCGCAGTAAGTTCTTCCTCCCTTTTTATGTTTTGAAGAGCCTGTAAGCCATTATTCTGTAGCGGCTGTCCATTGCATAGACAGGGAAGCTGATACTGTATGAGTAATACTCCCGAAGTACGCAGGGCAAGAGCTGTTCATGCAAAATGATTACCTTGTGCATATCCTGGAAGCTTTTGATTGCCCTACTCCATAAAGGAAAATATGGCAATGTTAGAAAACATGCTGAAGTTTTTCAGGCAGGATTAATTTAAATAAATTACATGACATGACATGACGCTTCATCCTTGAATTGTTGTTTAAAATTAACATTACCTTGTTGCAGTGTAAAATAGTGGGAACAATGGAAGAAAAAATGCTTACCTTTCTTCTGGAAATACACCTTTTCTCCCACGTCCTTGTTCAAACTGCTGCTTCCGTTGTTTCGTATGCGGGGGTTTTTTTGCTGTCTGTTTCTCTTCATCCTTCTGATTTCCCTGGTTTGTGTTTTTGATACAGTATCTATGTGTTGTGAGCGATCAGGTTGATTTTTTGCTTAGCAATACACACAGGGCCAGGAAGGATGCAGGATGCGAGTCCAACATGTAAGGTACGATGCGTTTGTGGCCAGTATCTTAGGTAAAGACGGCAGTATTAAAATGAGTAACTGCTGCATTCATCTTCCCAGCCCGGAGCATACATGTACTTCTGCCCAAGGAGCAAACCAGCAGGTGTACACTTAACAGACAAACAGAAGCTGAACAATATTTTTAAAAAAAAAAACAAAAACAAAACATTCTAAGGAAACAACTACCAGGACTGTTTTGCAAGAGCTACTGAGCTCTGTCTAAGCAAGGGACAGAAAAAAGGCTCCAGATTCCCACAGTAGGATCTATTCCTGCTTGCCTTGTCTTGCAAGCTGGCTCAAGACAAGTAAAGTTTGGCTGGCAGTCTCTGGGTGTGGTTGTCGAAGGCAAACCACCTTTCCTGCTTGGAATGACATGTGAGAAGCTGGTGGTTTACATCCATGTTAGGAGGTCAAGATGTTTGTCGTGCCTTTGTGTCATACTTCACCTGGAGCTGCAGTTACGTATCCAGTTTCATAAAACAAATTCAGGCAGCTACTGAGAAGAGTGAGTAGGCTCTCCGGGCATCTGCCGTGCTCCCACTCCCTTTCTGGCGCTGGCACAAGCATTCATGTGGTGATGTTGTCAGTTTTTAACAAGATCTGATCTTGATGACCATATAAACGTTTGTGCTGGCGTGAGGAACAGGACTGGAACAATTGGTGGAGAGCTGGACCTCATCGATCAGTCTTGGGCCAGATTAAAATGGCCAGGTAGCTTTGCTACCAACAAAGCTGGTTCTGCAAAGTTGGAGACTCAGGTCTTTATCTTCTGAAAGCGAGGCACTTCCTAGCTTCCATTTGTTTCTTTCTGTATTATTGCTTTCCTCTGAGTTTTGGCTAGGTGTAAGAAGAGCAGTTAGGCAGAAAAGTAACCACATCTCTTGAGCTACTTCAAGAGTTGCTGCTGAGATTTCCAGAAAACCTGTGACTTCAGTGGACAGCCTCGTTGGCACCAGCCTTGGTACTGATGGAGGGAAGACTTTCCAGCCTATTGCCGACACTCATGTCTGGCTTCCCCCATTTTCACAGCTTGGGTCCCTTCAACCCAAAGGGCCAGTTACAGCTTCATCTCTTGTACACTGAGTAGCTGTGCCACAGAATCACTTGGTGCAGGTAGTTCATAACATAGCTAGAAGTTGGCCTCAGACTGTCACTCCAGATATTTTGAGCCGCGTATGTCCTGTTGGCTGCTTCCCAGCTGCTCATTTCACCGTGCTGTCTCCTCCCTTGTGCATCCAGTCCTTCCATGGCTGTGAGTTTGGTCCAGATTCAAACCAGCCTAGGTAACCTCTTCCCATTTATTGAGCCACTCGTTCCTTCCAAAATTCAGGATTTTCGCAGTAAGCTGTACCAAGCACTTAATTTGTTTCTGCTCAGTGTGCCACCTTCTCACAGAAAGCAGAAAAAGGTCTCGGTTCAAGGCACAGAGTCACGTGCAGGTCTGTGCCGTGTACTTGTCAGGGCTCTCCATTTAAACCTTCCATGGGAGGAAAGCTGCTTACTAGTCGGGTTTTTCATTTGTTTCTGTTTTCTTTACTTCAGTTAATTTTGCAGAACTGAGTAGAGAGCATATAGCTAAAAACTCATCTGACATCCATGCACGTGGGGGAGAGAGAGCAACCTCTTGGTCCAGGGATGGATAGCCAGGTGTTGCTGGAGGAAGGAAACTAATGTGGATCAGCAGCTGGGTTAGTTCTTAGGATATCTTCGTAAAGGCAGCAACTCAACGTCCTCCTGTATAGAGCCATGATAAAGATGCCCAGGACAGTTAGCGTAGTTTCAAGTGGGAACTGAACTAAGTTGCTCAGCGCATCCGTAGCCTTGGTCAGATTTGATCCCTATGGATATCACGCAATGAACGGATGTGCGTAGCTGTATATCCACCACACTGACTGTGTACAATGTAATGCGCTGGTCCTTTAGGACCACACCTAGTTTGCTTAAATGCTCTGAAAGATCTCATTGTGTTTTAAAGGCCTTAAATATCACACTGAAGTGCCGAAAGACAAAGGTAATAGGATTTCGGATAGGGCTTGTGAAGGTTAGGCACCGATTTCCTGCTACATGCCTATAACTTGCTCAGGGTTCACATGCACACTCCAGGGTACTACAGTCTAACAAGTCACTGCACATCTGCTGAGCCAAATTAACTATCTTTATGCATACCCTTGGCCTGTGGCAAATACGAGATGAACAAATTAGACTTTTAGCCTTCCTTCACCGTGGGCTAAATTAAGTCAAATAATCTTGCATAAGCTGTGGGTTGAAAGCACGTGTGTGTACATACACTGTAATTGCCTGTATACCTGCGAGGTTAGGTGCTGTTTTAACTACGCCGGGTGCCTACCTGCATCTTTGAAGACATTTTGCCCTAGTCGATCTGTCCCCTGCAAAATGAGCTTGCCCGTGGTCACGGGAAGTTTGGGTGCAGAAATGGGGGTATTCGCCCTTTCCTCGTGGGCATCAAATGATGGCAGCTGTCAGAGGGTGGAGTACCAGCCTGAGAGGCTCTTCCTCCAAGGGCTGCTGGGGACTTCTCCTACATGATTTTATCAAATGATCGCAGCTCCTTTTATCAGCTGGATATCCTGAAACCTTAAAAAGAGCAAGTGTTACTCCGTCCCATTGCTGGCACAACTGCTTCTTAATGCCCAACTCCCTCTTCTAAGTTTGCATTTTTATTATATGACCTTTTCCTTCAAGCAGTGAGTTTGTAACTGAGCAATAGCAAATTGCAGCTGAGGAAAGCAGATAGAAAATGCAAAATCACTCTACAGTTTGTAGCATGTTAATCGCATTCCCATATTCAGTAAAAGTAATGAGATTTCTTGTTTATATTTGTAATCAGCAGAGGCAACTGACTGTGATGAGAAGCCGGACATTTCTCTACTACAAACAGGTAAAATGCATTAAAATTTTTATCAGCTTCCAATGTGTGTTTGTTTATTTATGGCACAGAAGCAGTTTTCAATAACCCTGGCGTGCCATGTACAGTCAGGTAATTGCACACAGGACCCAGCTATCTTAAGTTTTGAATGGCCTGTATTAAAAACCAAATGCATCAGAATCTTACAATTTTCCCCTCAATTTCATATTCATAAAACCTCAAGGTTCATGGTAGCAGCTAAGCTAATAAGGCCAGTGAGTTACCCTTCTTATGCTAGATAGGGACTTGCGCTCATCCCTGGAATTTCTGGGAGTTTTTTTGAATTCTTAAGGGAGTTATTGGTAGGGACAAATACAATAATTTGCATTGTAGCCTCTGTTCAGTTGTCCAAGGTATTAGCAATAATATCTTGGGTTCACAGAAGGATTGCAAAGATATTGGTTTACTTTCTCTTGAAGCGCAACCACCCTGCCTTAAAAGCCTGACAGTTGCTAAAGAGCAGCTTAGCTACGCAGCTGCGTGGACTAGGAAATAAGATTTTTGCACGCTGTTGCACATGGTGTTGAAATAAAGACAGGCTGGGACTGAAATTCAAAGCATCCTCTCGTTAAGAGCCAGTCCATCAATAAGTGCCCTGATGGTAGGAGCTGAGCTGCCATCCTCTGAAAATCCAGGGGGGCCAGAGTCTGGGGAGATGGTCATTCCCCTGCATTACGGAGTCATTTCCCTGTAATTTCACCAAGATGCTGCCTGTTATCCCCAAAGCCAAATTAAAAGGAGGGAAGATCTCAAGCAGACAAATAGGGTCATGGATTATGGTGCATTTTTATCATATTCCTAAGGTGTAACAACAAAGGGTGGTTGGAGATCAGCAATGCTATTGCTGTGAAGAACAGGACAGGGCTGATACTGGGTTGCTGAGCACACGGCATGGTACCTGGAAGCTATGGGGTGGATGGCAGAATACTAGTACCACCGCAGCATCTGTCTCTTGGGCAAGGGCTTCCTTATCTCTCTTGCGTAAGGGCTGGAGAAGGAGCTTTCACACACCCGCTGCTGTGTGCCGGAGCAGCAGCTGCCAGCCGTGGAGCGCTGTCGGTTGAAATCCTGCTGTCGGAGCACGTGCAGTTACTAAGGAATAGGACCAGCGAAGCAGTTGGGAGGACAAGCAGCTATAGTCTTGTTCTGGCATGGACCCAGTGGGGGCTGGGAGCACGGGCTGCCTGCGAGCCGCCGTGCCGCTTTCTTGGCTAGCCGCTGAGTATTTCAGGGTACGGTTGTGGTAATGGATGCAGGAAGCTTTGGTTTGAAAGGTCTTTTCCAAGTGACATCCCGTTCGTTTCTTTTATCAGGGAGGGAAGCAATTCCGTTGCAAGAGAACCCTCCTAAAGGTTGCTAATGTGACGTAGCGTTATCTTTTCATTGCTCTGGTAATCATATTAAGGAGCAGAATTATCGGATTGCTGTGCTTTTCTTTGAGCGCGGTTTCTGTAGTTCCTACTTGCATCGTACGTCATTGATGGAAATGAGCGTGCTGGGGTGGTTGTGGTGGAGAAGACGACTCCCTTTCCACTCCACAGCAGATCACCATTGCAGTCTGCTTGCTCCTACACCTTCAAGCATCCACGCATGCAGAGTTTTTGAGCTGAAATGCTTCCTTTGCGATGTATACCTCTCCGTGCTATCTGTGGAAGGACGCCTATATAAACCACACTGCAATTTGCATCGGTGGGGGAGGTGATGCTCACAGGCTGTAAGCCAAGCGTTTGACTCACACCCATTATTATATGTGTGCGAGTGCCTCTTTATAGTACGTATCCATGTAATATCATACTGTTCTTGGAAGCAAATGATTTAAAGTGATATACAGACATTATAATGACAGTAATTATGATAGAGAGCCAAAATACAGATGCTTTCTATCAAGGAGTGTAGCAAAAGAGGTGGAATATAACTTTTACAGAGGTCTTTCCCTGTCTTAGTACAGCTGGTTTTATAAAGGGGTGTTACTGACGGGTTCTTTAAAGAGAGCCTTCGTGTGATTTATTCAGCTGTCTTCTCTGTTTAGCTTGAAAAATCTTTGGGGAAGAGTCTCTGACTGTGTGCTTGTACAGTGTCTGGCGCAACGGGCCTCGGTTGCAGATGACAGCTAATATCAGATAAATCATGGCCTCAAGCTGCGCCACGGGAGGTTTAGATTGGATATTAGGAAAAATTTCTTCACCGAAAGGATTGTCAAGCAGTGGCACAGGCTGCCCAGGGAAGTGGTTCAGTCCCTGTCCCGGAAGGTATTTAAAAGACAGGTAGACGTGGTGCTTAGGGACATGGTTTAGTGGTGGACTTGGCAGTGCTGGGTTAACGGTTGGACCCAATGATCTTAAGGGTCTTTTCCGACCTAAACAATTCTATGATTCTGTGATCAGTGGTTAACCTGGTGTGTTGGTAGAATAAAACCAGACCAAACTGGATTGTGTGAGGTGGGTCTTGCAGGAGACTGGATGGGGAGAAAAGGTGGAGTACGGAAGCTATTTATGAAAGATAGTTGCTGTTCTGGTCTTCAAGAATTGAACAAACTTGTGAATCAAAAGCACCCAGAGTGAATGATTTGAATCAGTGGTAAGTGTTGGTGCAAAAAAAAAAGGAAAACACAGATGCCTTGAATCTGCCTTTTCTGCTCAGTCAGTCCTGCCTGTGATGCCAGCCACGTTATGAACAAGGTCTGGGTATATACGGACTATCGATGCTGAAATGCCTCAACCTACGTGTTTGCGGATCGCAGCCTGTGGCTGCCACTTCATTTGAGACACCTCAGTCAGAAGTGCGGATGCTCTCAGCTCTCTTCGTTGGTGGCAAGACGGCTGCTTCCAGAGAGAAGGTCAGATCAGCTAAGGTCGTGTTTGGAGGTGTCTGTCCTTCGGTGCCGGCAGGACTGGGGTCTGTGCAGTTAATTGGTATAGATAGGTGCCTACAGCTGGTTTGAACCTGCTCCCTCTCTGCCCACAATCAGCGAAGTCCTGGACTTTGAGGAGAGCAGGGGGTGTTTTGTTTTCAAAACTATCTTTTGGAACTCAAAAGCCCTGTAAAAAAATGGAGCTGGTACATCCTCATAAAAGTAAGGAAGACATTTTTGCCCAATTATGTTTTGGCACTTCTGAGCAGAAATCATGCTCCCGTTTTAAAATCACCCTCAATGCTAAGAGGGCCTTTGCTTTAAAAGCTGTTGATTGAAGGGTGTTTAAAGTAAATTGGAAGAACTGTGGCAGTTAAACTTGCTGGGAACTTTTGTGCATTGACAGATACATCTCAAGAAAATACTAGAAGAATCGTCTCTAACAAATGTTACCAAAGTTCCAGCTTTTGCACCTACCAAAAGCTGAAGGCTGTGTCCAGACCTGAGCTGAGACAGATCAGACAGCTCCGGGGGTAATTGCCGTGGACTAAGTGGAAAGACTGATGACTTTCTCGGTGATACAGGAGCCTGGAAGGTGTGAGATAGATCTTCATCAGGATGAAGATGTGGCAGCTTTTAGAGTCTTTCTGTTTAAGTTGGTATTGCGAAAAGGCTCGTCTTATTTTGGTCTACGATTTACACAAGGCATCTGGATTCTGCGTTTAAAAAAAAAAAATAAAAAGCAAAAAAGGGAGGCATACGCCATAAGTTCTCCATGTGGGAACAGATGTAAGCCAGCCGCAACACCCTTTTCTTCAATCCTCATCTTGAAAATTGCATTGGAAAGATCTATGCAGCCCAGGATCACGAGAGCGCCCTCCTTACACCTGTGCTTTGGACCACTGCTGTGCTGAGAGTTTGTATCGTTTCTCCACACTGGGGTTAATTTCAAGATGAGAAACAATTTTGATACCCCTAAAAGAAGCCGAAACACTAACATCCCAGTCCTCAGGTCCAGGGGTGATACAGCTTTGTGAAAAGATGAGAGCGATCTCTTGGTAAAGAAACTGATGATAAGAAAACAGCAACGATCCAATTCTATATAGGTTGTCTCCTTTTCTCTTGAAATACAATATCAAGAAAACGAAACTTCAAAAAAAAAAAAACCCTTTTCGAAACCTTAAATACAAATCCTTTATTGTAATATAAATCTTTATCCTTTCAGTGCATGATTGTATGAGTCTTCCCTTTTCATTGGGTTGTATTTGCCTCTCAGGCTGATTGATGTCTGTCTCCTATTTGCCCTATGTTCTTAGTGCTCTCGTCGTAATTCTTCTGTCCGTCTTTCATTGTTCTGTTTAGAAAAAGCACATTCTTAAAGTGCTTTAAAAAAGATGGGATATAATCATACCTTTTTTTTTAATGTATATATTCTCCCATATGCATTTAGACTGCTGTGGAGTGGTGTGGGTTTTTTTCCAAAGAAGATCCCAAAGTACGTACTCTAGGTTTAAAATTCATGTGGTGCTTTTTTCACTTCTTCAGAGCCGTAACTTCAAAGGGGAGAGCCTCACAGCGCAGTTTGTGCCGAAGTCTAATGCAGCGCTTTACATCTCAAGTGGGGTGCACTATACGTTGTGTGAAAAACTTTGCTGACAAATTCTGTATTCAAAAAAATTTATTTAATTTGCTTTTCTTTAGCCGATCGAGGTCTACTCTAAATGAAATTCAGCAGCTGCTGCGTGCGTACACATCAGCAGTTCAGCCCCATCACAAATTAAAGTTAGAACTCAAACACATAATTACCATAATTTTAAAATTTTTCTTTTTTTTTTTGCAAATTACTGATCTCTTAACTTTGTATATTTTTAACAGATTTCTTCAAACTCCTTCTTCCTTCAGGTAACCTTTTCGACACCGCAACAGATCATCTGATAGATGCAAACCCGGATTTTTCAGCTTGAATCTCACATCCTGCACCAGTGTTCTTAGCGGATAGAAACATCCTCTCCTTTGAATAATGTTCCCGCAAGATCGGCGCGAGAACTTCAGCGTACCGGCAAGACGTAGACATCCATACCGTTTTCCCTTCAAGTTTGTGTTGTTTCATGCATTTTCCATTTAACCTCAAATAACAAAAACCTCCAGATTGCTTCACGATGATTTCCCTCCGTATCCACTGCATTATTTAATTAGCGGGGTATCCACTCTGCAGACATTCTCTTGCCTTTGTTTTTCCTCCACGATTGTACTTTTCCACGTGATTGTGTGCTTGCCAGCAGTGTTTCGTCTTAAGCCACGCAGAGGTGAATACACAGAGTCGGGTGACTCTTCCCATCCCTGGGGACGCCGGTGGCATCTCTCTCCATCACCAACCCCGGGAGCTCGATGAGCGTTTGACTCGGCGAAGCTCTTTGCTTCTGCAGACCCATTTTTCCGTTCCTGGCTGCTGTGGTACCAATGACCAGTTGTACGCAGCTGTGATTAAAAAGTCCTCGCTGGATTTAGCAGAAAATAAAGCGGGATTCCTCCCAGCAGTGCCCGGTTTCCTAATTATAGCAAGGAGAAGCTGTTCCTCAAACAATTTCCCTTACGTGGTCCTCGTGGGATGGCTCTCGAGCATCTTTGTAGTGCACGCGGCTGGAGATGGTCATTCTCCCCTCACGGTTCTCCCCCAGCTTGCCCTACCACCTCCGTCTCAAAACCTGTTAGTTTGCCGATTTCCAGGAGGAGGGTCTGCACACTGTGATCTTTCAACCACTGCCCTTGGCGACAATATTCACCTGTTTTTTTAAAAAAAAAAAAAGTCACCTTTGGACTGGCACTCTATTGATATCTCAGCAGTTGAGTGAATCGATCAAGAAATTGCACTACCCTCTTAGACACTGAAAGGGTCGGTCCTTTCAGGTCAGGGCAAAGGTAGAATCATATGCAGCCCTCCACGCAAACCTTCGCTTCTGCACCTTTCATCAGCACTAAATTCACTTTAAAAATGTTGGGAAAAAGTCTAGAAGGTCTTACCTGTAACATCTACCGATCACCAGGCAGTTTGAGCCTGTTTCCTGCAATTGGAGGGAGAGCTTGCTAGAGCCTTTACCATTGCCTTTCCTTTCCCTCTATATTTTAGGTGCATATTTTTTTCTTTGGTAACTAGCTGGCCTTTGAGTGTCTCAACAGAAGTGCTATTACAGAGTGGGATGGTTTTCAAAATGCTTAATCTCTTCTTCTAACAATCGTAAAGCCTGTTTTCTCAGGCGTCACCGAATGCCCACAAATAAGGCTGAAGCCAACGGGGAGCGGTTCGTTCTCTCGGCACCTGAGGAACCAGGCTCCCAGCCCTTCCCCACCCACCTACCGTCGACTTTTAGGAATGACCGTGTTCTCCCTGAAACTGTGGAAGAGATCGAATGTGCACTGCAAACCGTAAAATTTGAGTCTTTCCTTCCTTCATGGCTTGGAGTTGCCTGCATTGGGCAGGGAGCGCCGGCTCGTCGTGTCCGTATCGTAACCCTTCAGCAACGGAATCAGCGTTTTGTAAATTTGGAAGATTGCATTTGTGTTTACTTACTGTGACTACTGTTCAGACTTTCTTCAGAAATCTTTTTATAGGGTTTATTAGAGAGAAGAAAAAAAAAATCATTCCATATTTAGGTAAAAATGTCTCAATCTTCTGTATATATGTTTTATTAATATGTAAATATTTAGATATTTTTAAATTACTATGTTCTTAATAAAGCGACAAGGGACTAGTTGTGAAATGGTGTATAACATTGTGTCGTGTTATCGATCTCTGGGAAACCCTCTTTGTCAGTCCAGAAAAGAAAACCTACAATAAATAACTTCAATTGCACGCGCGTTCCTGTGTTCTGTGCTGGATTCCCGTATTTCAGAGGAATTACCTAGCAATTAGTGGACTACATGGGGAAATGTATGGAAAACCCTACAAGTTACCACCACGATGCTGTTTTTCCAGCTGGCTCAAACAGAAATCATGCTGCCTGCCAATCACGACGACGTCTATATCCAATCGCACAATAACTCTTGAGTATTAAGTGCTGATATGCTTGAAGTCTAATTTTAATTGAATTAGGTGCCTTTATAATCTCCACTTAAAAGGTTAAGCTCTGCTTCTATGGAAACAACACATAGAAAGGACAAACCAATACTCATAATTTGGAGTAGCTGCAAAAATATATGCTTGGTAATTTATTATCACACCCTCATCAAATGTTGTTTAGCCTTAGAAAATATTTCCTGCGAAAACATGTTCCTGGTAATCTTCCATCAATTACAAGGAGCCAGCGAAGTGAAAGAGCGGCTTGCCACACCTTTTCTGCTTTATATAAGGAGCGCTCGGGATAACCCGCTGTAAAAAGTCCAGCGGGAGTTCCCTTTGTGCTTCGGTGGCTGCGCGGATCGACTGGAGGCCAGCGCGGCGCCGCGCATCCGCGTGGGATGGCGTGTGTCGGTGCGGTCCCTCTCCGCTGGGGAGCATTGCAAGAGCGGCTACGTCACAGATCGCAGAAGGGTTTGGGTTGGAAGGGACCTTGAAAGTTCATCTCGTCCGACCCCCTGCCATGGGCAGGGACACCTTCCCCTAGACCAGGTTGCTCAAAGCCCCGTCCAACCTGGCCTTGAACACTGCCAGGGATGGGGCACCCACAAATTCTCTGGGCAACCTGTGCCAGTGCCTCACCACCCTCAGCTTAAAAATCTTAGTGCTTGTGTCCAATCTAAACCTACCCTCTCAGTTTAAAACTGTTCCCCCTTGTCTTGTCACTACAGGCCATGGTAAAAACTCTCCCCGTCTTTCTTACAAGCCCCCTTTAAGTACTGAAAGGCCGCAATGAGGTCTCCCCGCAGCCTCCTCTTCCCCAGGCTGAACAACCCCAGCTCTCTCAGCCTTTCCT